GAGGTCAAAAAAGCCCAGAGAAAAATCTATGTGTGCTATGCAGCCCTGTACATTTTGCTTCACTGCCTTCATCAGCTGTAAAAAAATATATTACATGGAACCCTAGGCCCCAAAAGTTTGCCATCCCCGATTCAACTGAAGATGGTTCAACAAAGCAGTACTCCCAGAATCTGGATTTGGTATTTTTTGTGTCTGTTGGGGGGAATGCGGAATGCTTGAAAAAACTTTGAGAGTTGCCCTCAGCAGAAAGAAAATTTTAGCTATTCTTATTCCTTCTATGATAGAACATATGTCACTGTTGTTGTGTATAATTTCGACCAAATTATAATTACCTTGAATATGTTGCCTCAGTTTCCTCTTCCATATTGTTGGCAAGTTTCCAGTTTGCCCTAACTGGCTGCTGATGCAATCCCATCGACTGCTGAGAAAGGTGGGATAAGTGAGGGTGGTGATGGTGAGAATAAGGAATGTTGCCCTGACTGAGATAGGCGTTATGCTCATTCCATTGCTGGAGTCTTGCTTGCTGTTGCCTTAAGGTTTCCAAAGCTAAATTTCCATGAATACGATCTGTAAAACATTTTGGGGGGCATAATTACCCAGCTTCTATATTTAAGAGCTTTATGCTTAAAAAAACTGCATTTTGCAATATTGTATGTGCTATACACACACACATACACACACACACATACAGAAACTATCAACCATTAGATTCCTTGCTAAAATTATACTATCCTAAGAAATATTTCAGCAACTAGGGTCCCGTATGTCTAAATGAAAACTTATCTATGTCATATTCATAAATAACTTGAAAAGAATGCACTGTTATACTTTATGGTCCTTTTCCTGAAATGAAAGTTTTGAAGAGGTCCTACTCCTCAAATCCTCCCACCATGTATCAGCTTTGGTGGGTTGATTCTATTCCTTATCACATCTAAGGAAGATTAGCCACAGTAATTTCATCCTGGTTTAAGATCCTAGTTGATAAACTGATATTAGACTGCAGTTCCATTTTAGATACAACAAGGAAAGACAGTTTAATGCAGTCAAAATCAAACCACTAAAGCTTGCATAAGAAGGTAAAATAGGGATAGGAGTAGGACATGAACACAATGCTCACACCTAACTTTACTGCAGTTTAAGAAACAGATCACTACATCCAAAATAGCACATAATCTGAGAATGGGCTAGTCAATGAAGAATGCTTGCAGATGTTAAATGGTTGAAGGCTGTGGAGTAAATGACCTTCAGTTCTGTGAACAATGAAAAATAAACAATTTTTGTTCAATGAGCAAACATAAATTGATTTTTTTTTAAAATGAGGATAATAAATACTATACAGTGGCTATAAAACACTAAACGAATGCATACAATATACCAAAAAAAATTCTTCACACTACATATGATATGCTCCCTTTTCACCTAAGAAAACTGCCCCAACTTAGTCCCCTTGAATGTAGCCATGGATACATACCTAACGGTTCTCCTATAGACACTCCTGGAGGATTCTCTTCAATGAAGTGGTTCAAATGGGATGGCATCATGAGGTTATGCTGTGCAATGGGTCTCAGGGGGCTATTGACATCTTGCAGCACAGATGGAGGGAGCTGTTCTAAAACTGAAGTGTCTGTACCAGGGGAATGAGGTCTATGTGGAACTGGATTTTTAAAGAAAGACTGGTTGGGGCCAGTTTGAAAGGCGGGAGAGAGCTGTGAAGACGGTGGTTGTGGCTGCTGATTTAAATGATTGTGTTGCTGGACTATCTGGCTCTGTGGAGGATGCATTTGGTTTTGTTGTTCAGACAAATGATTCTGCTGTTGACTTAAGAGGTTTTGTTGCTGTTGCACAGGATATGGATGCCTTGAAATTTGGGTTAAGTGCTGGAAGGGGCGGCTAGGAACAGCATACTGGGCATGGGGAGGAGTGAGATGAATGTTCAGCTGCCTGGGGTTAAGATTATCTTTGCGGTGAAATTTAGAATTAGGATAAGAAGTACTGGAACGCGATTCAGGGCTTCTATTTTGGGAATTTCCTTCTAAGTCAACCTGGAGGAAATTATACAAATTATTTTAGTTAAAAATCATTTAAGAATACAGAATAAAACAAAATCCCCCTAAGCTATGAAAGTACCAAGCAAATATTTTAACATCAACTCAAGCATGTGATATCTAAAGAAGGTGGGAAAAACAAGGTCCAAAATAAAAACTACTGTAAAGCTTAGATACGTTTTCTCCTTTAACATATACTTAACTAAAAACCAATGAATATAAATATACTGACATACATAAGTCATATATATTTTTAAATGTTACATTTTCTACACAAAGCATTATTTCAAAGCTATTTTGATTATTATAAACTACAAAATCACTAAGATTTGTGGTCTTATACTTCTATTTTTAAATTGAATATTAAGACCTAATCACTGAAATCCACTTCAGAAACTATTATAGAAGAAATGAATTACTAGCTTCTCCTTTATTATCATAGTAAAAGAGAAACAACTATATAAATGATCAGTTCTAAAGAAATGCCACTCCTTGTTTCAAAGTGTTTGCTTTGAGTCTTTCCTCCACCCTCTCACTGACGACTTTTTCACTGTTCCTAGAAGCAAATTCTCTCATCACCTCCACCTAAGATTCCTCCTTAAAGCAGGATGTTGACAACCAGAAGCAAATTTTAAATTTTCATCTAACTGCAGATATTTAAATTAAATTGCAATTAAAATGTTGAAATATATTTTCTAATATCATACTATCATGTTACTCCCACATGATCCATAGTTTTCAAGTTGAACAACAAAATCATGTAAATATTTTGCCACAATGTTGTAAAATAACATGATCCAAAAAGCCGACACATACATAGACTTTGATCACCAATGAACAAAAGACCTGATTCACAAAACAAATCAGCATAGAAAAGCTTATGAGTCAAAATTCTCTAGTAACCACATTTTGCCTTGATGATCCTGCTCCCTTTTTAAAAAAGATAATATCTCAAAAGAATAACTCCCTGTTAAGCTTTGGTAAGTTCTAAAGCATTGTCTATCAAGCTTTTGTATTATGAAAAGTCTAGAAAGACGGGCTGTACAGGTAGTCTTCGATTTACGACCATAACTGGGACTGGAATTTCCATTGCTAAGCGAAGCAGTCGTAAAGCAAGACATCACATGACCGCATCGCTTAGTGACCACAATCCCAGCACTCCCATTGCCATCATTAACTGAGAATCATGGGTCATTAAGTGAGTACCCACTCCAATCCAAGCCATTCCAGGCCAGGTCCCTCCCAGCCACAAGCCTCAGTAAGGTAAGGGACTGCCTCCAATTCCCCCCACTCACCTATCTTCCCCCACATCTCTGCCCTTTAGCTGCCCTGCACCCTGCCTTGCTGAGTAGCAAGCAGTCCCAGAACCATGCGGCTCTGGGGCTGCTTGCGAGACTCCAGGAAGCTGCAGCCATCCCAGCCCAGTCCCAGTCACCCTCGCCACCCTGCACTCTGAGACCCCCTGCTGCCCTGCGCTCCGCTGCCCCAGCTGACTGCCATCTTCTTGCTCCCGCTGCTGATGTGTACCCGGCCTGGCTGGGGCTGGGCTTTGCACTGCAAAACAAAAACAAAAACAAAAAAGTCAAAAGCAGCCCCTTTGCAAAGAGCTCCTGGGTGGGGCGGGGCTTTGTGCTGCAGGGGAAAAAAAAGTTCCAAATAGTCCCTGAGCTGTGGCATGTCAAAAAGCCCCTTTGCCTTTGCTGCTTTTGGTTTTGTTTTTTTTTTGTAGTGCAAAACCCAGCCAGACTGGGCATGCCTTGTCAGCAGCAGGAACAAGATGGTGGCAGTCAGCTTGGGTGGCGGAGTGCAGGGGGGCAGAGGCCAAAAGGGCATAGATGGGAGGGGAGAGATGTGGGGGGAACTGAATTGTCCCTGCAGTCGTAAGTGTGGGTGGGCTGCCAAGTGCCCGAATTTTGATCACATGACTGTGGGGGCCTGCAACGGCCGTAACTTCAGGCATGGACCGTAAGTCCCTTTGTTCAGCGCCACTGTAACTGCGAATAGTTGCTGAATGAATGGTCTAAGACGAGGACTACCTGTATAAAAACAAAACAAAAAACCCTCCTGAATTCAGAATTACTGATTTCAGTATTACTGAAATGGGTTCTCAAAAATTTCCTGAAACAGATCAGTTGTAGTCCTGGCATCACTCAATGTGATTACTAGGAATGGCCTGTTACCTTCTGTAAACAACCCAAAACGTCAACTAAAACCACTTCACCATACTACTTCTCCCAACACTATTGCTTACGTGGGTCTGTGTAACACCCATAATTGTATTTTCCCCATAATATTTTTGACCCCCAAACTGCTCCAAAATAATATAATGGGGCTTCAAGGGCACTGAAGGCAAACTGAAAGGGAAGGCACCTATCAGGTATCACAAAAGTAAATAGGGGGATTGGTGTTATTGCTCTGGGATCCAACTGAAGAGGGATTGTTATAGCTGAACAGTGTCTTAACAAATGTATTTTATTTCTTTTTTGTTTTGTAATTTGAATTGTAATATGTTGTGACATAGTGTGATCTTTACTTATTTTTATTTAGACAGAGTCATTGCTGTTGGCTTAGTTATTCTGCATCATGATTCTTTTAGGATGGCCATATTTCTACAGTGCCTGCATTACCCAAGTTTCACGGGCATCACACATGAGGAAAGAGTAATAAGGAGCATGTACCTGTTTGGCTTCTAAAGGGTTTTTCTCAGTTGTCCGCATTTTGCTGACTTCAGGTCCAGCACCAGGTTCATTTTTGCCTAAATAACATAAAGACCTCATATAAAACTCATTTTTAATATTCAACTTAATTTATATCCAGCCATAATCATAATGTAAGTTATTAAACCTAGTGTTTTCAATCTTACTTTGGTGATCATGTTTAAAATATTATAGCTTAAAACTTAAAGCAGAAGGATAGATATTAGAAGGATAAGGAAAAGAAAATATTTTTTTAAGTAAAATTATTTTCCATTTCAGCTTCTAAAAATAATTCCACATTGACAGTCAACTGAGCTACCTTAAAAATTACTGTATAAAACAAGATACCTATGCTTTGTAAGATAATATAGAGGTGAAAAAATAGTGACGTCCATTTAAAAGTGATCTTTTAAGATGCCTGAGAAGAAAAATTCAGTAAAGTATTTTAGGTAACCATAAAAAAGTAACTGTGAATCTAAAAAATAAGTCTATCAGTTTATAATCAACAATAAGAGGCACATACAGATTAAAAGCAGTAATTGATTGTTGTTCTCAGATATATCCATATTTATTTATTTAGAAAATTTATATAGCTGCCCATCTCACCAAAAGCAACTCTGGGCAGTGTACAACAATCAGATAAAAAACAAAATATAAAAACCACATGAAAAATATAAAAACCATATTAATAAATATCATAAAAACCAAGATATAAACCATAGGGGAGGGAGAATAAAAATGGCCCCTTCAGCAATGGAGCCATCAAAACAGGTCTCCGGTTAATAATATTCATTGTTTTTGTAGTCACCCAGACTGAATGATCAAATTTCTGCTTAATAAACAAAAATAGGCAAGAGCTTTCTAAAGCAGAACACAATCTTTGCTCAATAGGACATTAGATGTGTTTTTTTGGTTACTTATGAACTAAGAAACCATGGGCAAAAAAACAGAGAATGAAGCCATGATTTTAAATTGGTTTCTATGCAATAGCTTCTTGGGAAGTCATTAACATGGTTATTCATTCAGATGTAATATTATAGCTAATTGTGATTAGTGGTATGATCATAAGAAAGGGAAAGAAAACATGCAGATGATATCTCAGTTTATTACACTGCAATTTGATCAATCAAATACCACTGCTGATTCAAGACTCCAATGTTCTTTCTTTAGATCAAGTACAGAACATTACTTAACATACAATGAGAGAGCTGACCAAATAGTTCAATCGATTTGCTGCTCCTGAACTATTTGACTGGTGATGAAGCAAAATAGTTTCTGGTGATTACCAATTACTAATTTATAATCTACTCTTAGATAATCCAAAGAGTACAAAATCATTTGGCTCCTCTTATCTACATAGGAAAATAAAAGAGGAAAATATAGCTCCAGATTTAAACCTTGAAAACTTGTATTTAGAGAAATAACTAGAAAATCATCAATGACTCAAATCTATCATGAAGCAAAGACACACAGTTGATCAGATATTTCATCAGATACACTGTTCTGCTATTTTCTGACCATCCCTTTAAGAGAAATATCTTTATCCATTGTCAAGCCATCTCCTTAGAAAACTACGGAATGGTAAAACCAGAAACATTCCCCAGCTGATAAAGATAAATTTAAAATGTTGCCAGAATAAATAGGTGTAATTTGGGTTGCTTGCTCGTAAAAGGGTATTTTAAAACTTAAGAACAAAACTTCTGAAATAATAAGCAGCTATGAAAATTTCATACAAATGAATTTGTTTCTTACTCTTCAGTCAGCATACATTATGTGATATTGATAATGAATGATGATGTATTAGTTCATCTTCGTAATGTCAGACTAAAAGAATTATCTTTAGAAATGAATGTTTTTGTGCAAAATGTTATAGAGCATGAAAATGTTCAGCAGTAATTGAATGCGGAAATATTTTGCTTTTCCTAACTCTCCATATTAAAACTTGCAGGATTCACATGTTTAAGCTAATTATGAATCAGCATTCTAATAATTACTCTCAGTCCTTCTCCCAGAGGAATAAGAAGCAATATATCTCATTTTCAACATTACTGGGTAATGCTGCATCTATTGAGAGATAATGTAACTGGCCATAGTAGCTGATGTGGAGGTCTGGGGTGGTTCTGTTATATGCCTGGGCTGCTGGCCTAGGCTTAGCATTACCAGAGGAAAAACTTATTCAGCCTACAGGACCTGGATAAACATAACCTTTTTAAAGAAAACTTTACTTGGTAATTTCTTCAAGCCAATTTCTGCAAAGAAAAGCCCTTGATTTTTACCCTATAGTTGAATCAATTTGACGTTTGGGAATTCTGCCTGTCCAAGGGCGAGTTTCTTGGCTGTGGTATCCCTTGGAATATCTAAAGCCACTGGCTACATTCATGCAAAATGATAAACATATTTTATTGTGGCAGGAGTCATCATAGTTGCCACCCCTCTCTTCTTCTTGCTGGGGCCACAAAGATGTTCAAGCTCTCCTTTCTGTTTTTGATTAACTCAATCAGCTAGAGTTAATCTCAGCTATGGCTTATTTGGAACAAGGCAGCTACTCACCACATGTTGTGCTTTTAGTTAAGATTCACTGCCCATCTTGGCTCAGATAACAGGCTTAGCTGTAGTTTACCAAAAATTGCAAAATGTTTCTAAATTCTTCATGGTGATGGCCAAGGGGGAGGTCCAGATATCTTTTCTTTTTAGTAAGGACCAAATGCAGCCACTAAATAACTGAAGATGGGCAGAATATACCACATCATACATCTCAAGATGAAAATCAGAAAATACTTAAAAGACAAAGCTCCTCAAAGTTTTTTCTTCAACCGTTTTTTTTTCCTTTTAACGTGACCACTTTGATTCAATAATGACTTCACATTGTTAATTTTTATCAACAAGAACAGCTAACTTTAATGTTTAATTGGTCATTTTCCTTCTTAATGACACATTAAGTTAATACATGATTGCATTTGGCTTTTGTGAAAATAGGTTATTTTATAATAAATTGAAAGTATCAGCACATTTCATAGGCAAACCCAATCATCCTATTTTTCTTCAGAGAGACAGAAAATTATGTTAAGTGAATTTCACAATATTTTATTTATTCTCTTTCAGTTACATTATTAAAAGTCCTAGAAACTGAACTTCTAGCACATTCTGTGCTCTTCCACTTTTCAGGTTATTAGTAGAAATTAAGGATGGCATGCCATATTTGTTTTTGGAATTACCCAAACCTTCATGAATATAAGTAAGTTTCTTTCATGGCTATACCCATGAACTAGATAGTATCCAATTATCTCTTGAAGGACATCATTGTCTGGCATAGTAAGGTGACAGCTCATACATCTACAATATTGGGAAATTTATCTTGGCACTCAATACTGTACACAGTAATTACTCTGCTTTTCAGGCAGATAATGAGGCAGATTTTGAACAGCACAGCTGTAAGGAAAGTCACTCAAACAGCACAAATGAAATCAGAGCAATTTCAGTGTTGATACAGTCGTCAGTCCTTCAGCATTAAAAAGATGCCTTGCTCTGAAATAGATTTTATGCTAATGAGATTATAGAATTCTACGCTTATTGTTTCCTAATGGATCTGTCGGATTTGTTTTCCAATTTCAGCTGAAACCTGCTGATTGAAAGGCAATAAAGCTACTAGCATAAGCACAGAGCCCAATTTCTCATTTTTATTTAAGATAATTTACTTTATGTATTTTTCACATCAATGTACTATCTACTGTAATAGAGATAGTGGTGGATATATGAAGCTTCTGATGCCCCAAAGAATGTCTGTAGCGGCAAAATCCACTCTGTTCTCTTAAAATACCAGAGAATATTCTGCACTCAAATAGAGAAACTTATTGCTCACTTGATGTACTTTCCAACAAAAAAAGGACCACATCTGCATGTGGAGAACTCTTAAGTATCCATACAGCATTGCAATTTCTGAGGTTTTTGTCTGATAACTATACTGCACACCTCTTTCCCAGAAAACCCAGTTCAATATTTCCTTAAATAACAGAATGGGAGAACATCAGCAATATTATAACTGCTGCACTCCTCTCTGAAGGATGTGACAATGGAGAATCCAAACAGCAACAAGAAGTATAGCAGAGGATCCAAAGGGGAGAACCACCATTTCTCATGTATATGTTCTTTACTCCAGTTCTATTGATGTCAAATATAAAACAGTTTAACAAACTCTCTAATAATATGGCATATCAATTAAAGAGATAATTTCATTTGGGCAGAAAATAGGAGGCAGGAGCATTATGTATGCTGCATTAACTGGGGTATAAATTTATATCCCAACAATAAAAGTGGGATATAAATCTAATAAATCTAATCCTCATCACCACCATCATCATCCCTGCTATGGGATGATTTCAGTGAGAAGGAAGGAAGGAAGGAAGGAAGGAAGGAAGGAAGGAAGGAAGGAAGGAAGGAA